TTTTTTTTTTTTTTTTTTTTTTGGAAGTAATAGTTGGATATCCATAGTCGTAGTAGCTTCAAGAAGAGCGTTAACGAATCGTAAATATGAATATAAACTTGAGCATTATAGGTTATGCTTGGTACGTATTTGGCACTGGATTCAAATTTTCCAATGAGAGATCTCTAAGAGCAGGAAGCATGCTTCATAAAAATCTCAGACGAGAATCTCACGAAAGGAAGAAAGGACAAAGATCTTCAAATAGAAGAAGACATGGTTCGGTATAGTATGCCGCACAGTAGAAATTCAGACGGAAACCTCAACTTCACTTTCGACGACGAAAGCCGACACGGACGACAGGCGCTTTAAAATTCCATCATCCACCGATCAGAACCCGGTTAATCCCGACCGCAACCTCTGCCTGCAACCCACAGTGTCACCATTGTCGGTCATTCTGCGTCATCACTACACCAACATCCTCAATGCCTCCTGTGCATATTATCGCATTTACTATCCCTCTCACGAGCATCCTACGACCGGTTTATATCCCAGCACGCGAGTAGCCGATTTCACATTTTATCTCTCTGACTCACTCTCTCTCTCTCTCTCTCTCTCTCTCTCTCTCTTTGCCTTTCGTTCAAAGCGGATCACGCGACCCGGAAACGCACCCCGTGGAGGCATGTGAAGAGGACGAGCCACGCGGCGGAGCCGCACATCCGATCGCACAGGGACAATAAAGACATCCACACTTGCGCGGCCGATTTGCAGCCCCTTTTGTTGGCCGTCTCCTCGGGAAGGCCGGTAGCGGCCAGGAGCAGCTCGTCAGACTTGGTCGTACAGCCCTCAGCGCCCCTCTCCCTGGTCTCAGCCGGTGTCCAGGCCCTCTGCTGCTGTTCCTCTCTCCTCTTTCTCGAGGCGTCGAGGTCCGTGGTGGTCCTTGGCGTGGCGCGTTTATCCATGCGTGCTACGCGAGCACAGCGGGGTCGGTCTTACTACACGGAGAGCCGGAGTAGTCGTTACAGAGTACTCCCCCTCCGACACAACTGGGCCACCGGTCCACCCTCTACGCACACGATCTCTCTATCCGGCCGCACGACACCGAGGGACGGAGGGGACGGACTCGGACGTTAGGCTACCCTCGGTCGACGACTCGGCGGAGACACGAACACCGGACACCAGAGGGTCCGGACACGCGACACAGGTACGCGGATTATCTTGCGGGAGAAAAAAACAGCTCGTATCACCCCTCGAGAACATCCTCGCCTACCCCATGCTGGCTAATATGGCGGGAAGGAGCGCTCAGGAGCGTACGAGGCCGCGCCTGCGCCCCCACGGCCACCACCACGCCGAAGAATCGAGTGTAGGTGAGTATCGACCCGACGTGACGTCACCACTATCCTCGGCCAAACGCTCAACCCCCAACCCCCAAACCCCCTCGCCCCTTCCTAACTTACTCTGTCTCTCGCGGTGATTCTCGGTTACGCTGCCGTCTCTCGTTTGCTCCGCTCGTTTTATCCCCGTCTATAGGTTATAACCGTCTCGCTCCACCGGCTACCGCGGGTTTCTCCGGCCACGTCTACGCGTTCCGCTAGCTATCGTGCATCGTAACTCGCTCTGCCGTTTGATTTTTCTTTAGACGCTTGTGCTTCTTCTTGCTACAACTTTTCTTCATTTTCTCTCTTCTTTTTTTTTTTTTTGGATTGTCGCTGCTGATCGTTGAGCTGGTTAGTTTTTTTCCACTCGAATACCTTCGGACAGGTAATTGCTAGACTTCTTCTCGAAGTTACGATTCCTCTGCTCTTTAATTCGTTCGATTGTATCGTTCGGGGAATTTGTAGACTCCAGGGAAGGAGTCTAACGTACTAAGTGCTCTTTTTACCAAACGAGGCTCTAAAAAGAAGCATTGTTGCAAGAATGTTTCTGTTTACAGAAGATCCACTAATGAATCAATCGTTCTGACAAGTACACTTGTAAAATGGCTGTGTGGATTCTCTAGTATATTCTTGTATAGATTTTCACATTTAGCCTAATTTCATTCTTCCTCCCTCTACACCCCCGTCTGTGAAGAAGAATCCTATTCACAGGGTGCAAAATGAAACAGAGCGACCGGTGTAGAATTTTCGCTAATCTGCAAAACCTGTTTTCCACTCTTTTCCTTTTTCCAGCCGACTAGAGGATTCAGCCTGGACTCTATCAGCCTCTCCTCATCATCCAGAGCTATCAATACTCCTTTGTGCTCTCTTCATTTCTCACGACTTACACAGCCAGGTGTAAGTTCCTTCTTTCATCTTTCATACTCGCCATCGGAGGGGCCAGATCCTTGTCATCGATCTTCCACCATTATTTTTACTTCGACCCATTTCCACCGCTGCTTTCGGAAGGATATTCATTTATTCAGCGATGATGTGGCCGCTGCTTCTCTAATTGCATACGTCCTTCTCCTAACATTTCGCAACAATTTGTTTTATTCACCAAAGCGCGTACACACGAAACTGTGTGCGTGTGTGTGTGTGTTTCTGTTCCCTTTATGTAAACCATAGACGCTCTTCTACGCCCGGAATTGGTATTCTTTCCAACTTTCCCCACCGCAAATCCTGTCTCTCCCTTGTCTCTGGCTGCGAGTTGCTTATTCCTTCAACTGCTGATTAGTTGCAACGCTGTTTGACTTTACAGAGAGAGAGAGAGAGAGAGGGGGGGGAGAGAGGGAGGAGAACCGGTCCAATCCTGGTTCCTCTGTCTGCCAACTTAACGACACACAAACGCTATTACTCGCGAATCCTTTGTTTCTGATGTGGTCCATGCTGTTTGTTGCTCTGCTCGTTTAATTAGGGGAATATCTGTAATATCGCGAGCTATGCCGCTGATTTTTGGTTAGGTTTTGCTAGCCAGAAACACGCTGTTTCGCTTCAAAGCGAAGCAATTTCGTTCCATTTCGATGTACACGATCGAGGTAGAGTTTTCGATCATTACTTTGGCACAGAATTTGCGAATAACATTTAAATATTAGCAGGTTACGATAACGTGAAGTGAGCAAGTGTGTGAAAAATGATCGTCTTCCTGCAACGATTATTCCTGGTCAACATCGCGACCACTTTGGCGCAGGACCACGTGTTGTGTGCCTGTCCGGATGACAAATCGCGTGAAATTGGTGCTGAACTGTACGTATTAAGAGAAAAGAAGCGTAAGAAGAGTAAAATACGAAAGGCTGGAGGAGTCCAAAAAGTGTCCAAACAAGAGGAGAAACGTCACGATGGAGGAAGAGAAGTGGCAGCGAATAGGATGGAAGCACTTTGGTCCCTCCCCATACGGAAGCATCCTTGTGGCGAGACCGAATAAGTGCCGAAAATTTCAAGAATCTCCAGCTTATACTCGTTATAGCATCGCTTTAGCCGATGTCTTTCTTTTCTCAAGCCTCCTTCAGCTTGCCAGTTTTCAACTTTTACTTTGGATTACTGGTAGTAATTAAATAAAGTTAATAAAGACCAACGATCTCTCGATTAAAGTCTACAACGAGCCGTACGAATGTATCAGGTAGCGATGTGTTTCCAAGTATGAAAAGAATCGGTTTCACCGAGGCTTACTTTTGAAAAGAAGTCTGAAAAAAGGGAAGTTTTCCTTTTGTTTAAAACACTACACATTGCAGACGAGATGTCTGAAAAGAAGATAATCTGAAAAGAAGAGAATTTTCCTTTTGTAAAACACTACACATTGCAGAAGAGACGTCTGAAAAGAAGATAATCTGAAAAGAAGAGACGTCTGAAAAGAAGAGAAGTTTTTCTTTTGTTTAAAACACTAAACATTGCAGAAGAGAAGTCTGAAGAGAAGACAAGTTTTCCTTTTGTTTAAAATACTACACATTGCAGAAGAGATGTTTGAAAAGAAGATAATCTGAAAAGAAGATAATCTGAAAAGAAGAGAAGTTTTCCTTTTGTAAAACACTACACATTGCAGAAGAGAAGTCTGAAAAGAAGATAATCTGAAAAGAAGAAAAGTTTTTCTTTTGTTTAAAACACTAAACATTGCAGAAGAGAAGTCTGAAGAGAAGACAAGTTTTCCTTTTGTTTAAAATACTACACATTGCAGAAGAGATGTTTGAAAAGAAGAGACGTCTGAAAAGAAGATAATCTGAAAAGAAGATAATCTGAAAAGAAGATAATCTGAAAAGAAGAGAAGTTTTC